TCGTTGCAACAGCGAAGAAGTTGAAACGGCGATCGGTCAGACACGATCCAGAGGGGCAGAATTGACCGTCGTTAGACAAGAGAGATATTAGACTTTTGCTAAAGAAAGAGAGTAAACGACCAGTAGGAAGGCTTCCGAATCGATTACAGAATGAGGTAAAGATCAAGATGGATAAAAACAGCAGAAGCACATAAATTTATAGCAAAGTCTTGTGGAGGCATTCATCTTGCAGTGGACAGAAATTGGCCGAAGGTGATCTTATGATTATCAGATTTTAAGTGTGTATTCGACTGCTACTGTACAACAAGAAGACTTAAAACTATTTTTGAAAGTTTTTCATATTTCTCTGTAAGCGAGCTTTTTTAGCCGATGGTCCGTTCAGTAGCAAAAGTCTGAGCGTAAAAGCTCAGAAAAAAATACTCAGTAAAATCGCCAATCGTACAGTCGCACATCATTTCATCAGCGACCAGTCAGCTCGCCTTTTGGACAACTTGTACAAACTTTTAAAAGAATTCTATACGAAAAAGGAAGCGGAAAAGGTACGGTATTGTTTCAAGTTACAATGAGGGGTTTTTCGTTGAAGTACAATTATTTTGCTTAGGTTGTGAAGAATATTATAAAGATGGCGATCAAAATCGCGGTGCTCGGCCACAACGATCAGTTTTCACCCGCAGACCTATCGATTTTCTCGAAGTTTCAGGAAAAGCTGCATTCTATCATGTTGTCCGTGGTCAGTTTTCATCAGGTCGATTTTTCATACGACAAGCTCTACCTGCGCAAATTAATCGGCGAAACGGAAAACCTTCTGACGAATCTGATAGCCAGCCATCTGACCGAAAAATCGGTGCAACGAGTTCACATGGTGTTTCAGTACCTTGGTGCCACGGAGTTCCTCGACTTTCTGTTCACTCATGGCGGTGGTGGCAAGCAAATCAGCAACAGCATGAAGAAGCTAATTTTCGATGACATCGGCGAGTTGCTGACCAGAGGCGAACTATGAGATGGTTTTCCTCAAACTTTTGTCACAGCTGTACCATGTAAAACGACGGACAGTTTAGCCGAATTTTCACCATCTGGCTGCCTTATTACTACTATTGTGTGGTAGCTTTGTTGCCTCTCGTTTAGGGTTAACTTACGCGGTTTTTTCAGGTAGGTTTTTGTCTCTCATGAATTATATGCTGGACAGTTGAAATGGCGAGAATGTCATGTTGATAAAACGACTGTAATTACAAGTTCCGTTTCGTGCTGGGTACGAATGAACTCAGTTTTAATTCTAGCGCAATCTAATGTCGGGAATTTACAATGAGGTTGCAGTTACACGAAGCCAAATTTGCTTGAAGTATATCTACGCTTGAAAAATTCAAGACCTTTGAACATTTGCGCTGGCCTCCACCAAAGGCATGGTATGCACTATTCCCTCTCCTGTTAGTGTTGTACATGGATTGCATAGTCAGACGCAGCCAAGGCGATGAGTGTATCAGCGTACGAGATGCAGGGACGAGAAGTTTGCTGTTTGCTGACGACTGTTTTGTTGGCATCTTCTGAAATGCGCTATGGAAAGTTTCTCAGCCGAGTGCGACGTGGCCGGTATTCGTGGGTACGTGGTTAAAAGCAAAGGTCTAGTGCTTTCTCGTTCTCATGCACCTTTGGCTCTGCCGATAAACGGGAAAGTAGTGGAACAGATGAAGTTCATGTATTTCCGGGTCGTGTTTACTGTTGATGGAAAATGGGAGGGAGAGATCTACCAGCGGACTGGACCGAACCATTATGGATTAAGGCAGAATTGAATATGAAGAGAAGCTGTTCATGTTTAAGTCGATTTTTATCTTCATGCTCACCTACGACTATAAGTAGTGGGCGTTAACTGAAAAACTTCGATCCTGGGTACAACCACTAAAAGGAGCTTTCTGAAACCAATAGCTAGGCTCATTCGTTTCGATATCGTCGAGAGTTCAAATATCTGAGATCCTTGCTAATGCACAGCCCCTGCTAATTCAGATGTTAAAGTTACAGGTACCATGGTTTGGATGTCTTGAGAACGTTTCGACAGAGATAGGGGAAGCAGCTACTACTCGCTCATCCGACTGGTTGAGTGAGGTCCTCTGATGAATCACCGGAGTTAGTACCTAAGTAAATTTTGTTCCACTTGTTTTCCTGTTGAAGCTCAAACACTGCCACTGGATCTTAAACGGTAGAGAAACTGTCTGACACTGATGTCTCCGTGATCCAAAGGGACAAGCAGTCATCGAAACTCGCTGCTAGAGTAACGTCTAAAAACCTTCAGTACTCAAAACCCCCCACTGCATCTTCTTACCATTAAGTCTTCTGAGTTGTGAGTATCCAGCTAAATTCATTGATGCAGGCGATTTTAAGAGCGGTGAAGACTGCATTACTCAAGACCATTGCTTCGTATTTTATCGTATACATTCGACGAGAAATATTCGTTGCGGGAGGAAGGTGGGGCTTGACAGGGACAGTGGTTCGCAACGTATTTCGCTTTCTCTGTTTATGAGAAAGTTATTCGCACCGACTGTGCTTTGTATAAAGATGGTTTAGTGCCGTGTACTACTGTCAGGGAAGGGAGATGTCTTGAACCCCTTGGTTTTAGCTTCAGTCATACCTTTCTGCAACAGCGCATTTGACAGATACATCGTTCAGCAGGCGTTGAAGTTTCCGTAATCAGGGTATATCGACCACTGACAAGCAAAACAAAAATTGTGTAGCAACGTTTAGAAATCATCACTTAATTTAGGACCTTATCAAACAGCCAGTTAGGCTCGATATGTCGCAGGAGATAGGCGATATAGCAACTACATAACAGGTAAGGGCAAATGCACATACAATATCGGTCACAGAATCAACATAACGTTGCTCGTACTGCTACCATTATCAGTAATCAATAACAGAAAACTTTTGTCATCTTATCCTTTGCTATT